CATGAAAATATAGAAACTAAAAATCCTAAGGCATCGGTGTGAGAACCCCTGAGTGTGCTGAGCCTTCTCTCCTGGTGGAGGGTTCCCAAAGGAAGATCAGTGAGATCCCATTTGAACAGAGGAGCTGTCAGTCTCACTGGTGAGGGGATGATGGTGTGGGTTCCACATGTGCTGAGTCCCTTCCTCCTGGGCATCCCCTGGGGGAGCTTGGGCATCTCGGGGGGAGCTTGGGCATCTCGGGCAGAGCAGATGGGACAGGGGGCACGTGGGAGGCTGGGCAGGGTCCAGAGTGGGCTCAGAGCCCTGTCCTGGCCATTGAGAGGACAGGCAGGGTCCAGAGCGGGGTCAGAGCCCTGTCCTGGCCATGTGGGAACCTGGGCAGGGTCCAGGGCAGGACCAGGATCCTGTCCTGTCCATGTGCTCCTCTCCTGGACTCGTGTTGCTCTCCTCTCAGCCGTGTCCCTCCTCTGTGCAAACAGGAGCTCTGTGTGTGCTCCCATCCTGGCCATGCTGACARACCAGTGAGGGGGCACTGGCTGAACTGGGAGACACCCACTATGTGTGCCTTGGCTGGTTCAATGAATCCTGCTGAGAACCCGGGTGGCTCCTCGTGCTCCACTGCCCTGGTCCCATCACACAGGGACACAAACACACACAAATACACACAAACACACACACACCGAGCGATCCTGGGGCTGCAGGCAATGGGGAAAGCTCTGTGGGGCCATGGAGGGTCCTGGGAGAAGGGCTGCCCTTGGCTGTGTTTGTGCATGTCCTTCTGTGCCTTGGCTCCATGCCCACCGCTGTGCCTGGCATGGGTGTGATTGGGATGGGTGTGATTGGGGATGGGTGTGATCTGGGATGGGTGTGACTGGGATGGGTGTGCTATGGGATGGGTGTGATTGGGGATGGGTGTGAGTGGTGAGGGGTGTGCTATGGGATGGGTGTGATTGGTGAGGGGTGTGATTGGGGATGGGTGTGATTGGGGATGGGTGTGATTGGGGATGGGTGTGATCTGGGATGGGTGTGAGTGGTGAGGGGTGTGCTATGGGATGGATGTGATTGGGATGGGTGTGCTATGGGATGGGTGTGCTATGGGATGGGTGTGACTGGGATGGGTGTGCTATGGGATGCGTGTGCTATGGGATGGGTGTGCTCAGGGATGGATGTGCTGTGGGATGGATGTGCTATGGGATGGGTGTGCTATGGGATGGGTGTGCTATGGGATGGGTGTGCTATGGGATGGGTGTGCTATGGGATGGGTGTGCTATGGGATGGGTGTGCTACGGGATGGGTGTGCTACGGGATGGGTGTGCTACGGGATGGGTGTGCTACGGGATGGGTGTGCTATGGGATGGGTGTGATCGGGGATGGGTGTGCTCGGTGAGGGATGTGCTCCATGATTGATGTGCTATGGGATGAATGTGCTCAGGGAAGGATGTGCTGCATGATGGATGTGCTCAGTGAGGGATGTGCTCAGTGCCCTGCTTGGAGCAGAGCTTTGGGGTGTGTGTGGGGCACGCTTGCAGCTCTGGCCCAGCTGAATTTAACCAGGAGGACTGTTCTGTCTTCCCTCCACAGCCTGGAAGTGTCTCCTCAGGTAGAAACCAGCTCAGCCGCTCCCTGTCCCTGCTCTGCCCGCTGTCCCACCCCATGTCCTGCCACCCTCCCCGCTAGCATGCCGAGCTCTAACCTCCTCCCCGCCTCTCCTGGACACAGCCAGGCCGGCTCCTTGTCCCCCACCAACCCATTCCTCAACTCCCTGCACAGCAATCCCTTCTTTGAGGAGCTCCTGGCTGACCAGGTACTAAATTCTCCTTCACCTGCTCACTTTCTCTCTAGTTTGCCGCCTGGGCCGCATGCCGCAGCAGAGGTCGCTGGGAGCTTTTGTTCCTCTGAGGATTGCGGGGGCTCAGCCTCCCCGAGGCACACAGAGCCTGCAGCCCCCAGCCTCGCTGTTCCCGTGCCTGAAACAACTCCCCCATCAGCGGGAGAGCCCCCTCCTGCCACCACCGACCCTGCCGTGCCCCCGCCGCCCTCCGAGTGGGACGAGACCTTCGACGCCTTTGCCACCAGCAGGCTCAAACCCGACAGGAACAGTGACAGCTTCYTGGCCTCGGTGACAGCCGAGGGCGTGGCGTTCATCGATGACCCCGACGCTGCCGAGCCACCCTGCCCCAAGGTGTTGGACCGGCCCGAGTCGCCCATGGGTGCTGAAATGCCCGCAGCTCTCCGCTCCTGGAGCAATTTCTCCAATTTAGACGTGGGTGCCAACCTGGTGAGCACCACGCAGGAGGCCACGGTGATYGAGGACGTGCTGAGCCCCGTGTCGGCGGGGTCCATGGCCAGGAGGAGGAAAAGCAGCACGCCCATGGTGTGGACGGGCCCGTTTACCTCAGGAAACTCCGGGGAGAAAGAGGCATCAGCGGCACCAAACCCTGAAAGCAGCACCAGAGAGGAAGGGGACAGCGGCGAGGAGGAGCTGTGTGGCACGGGCACCAACGGCTGGATGACCATAGCCACAGAAACTGCTCCTGAACCTTCTGAGAGCACCCCCAGTGTGGATGAGGAGCGCACCGCTCCCGAGGGTGCCTTCAGCTCCCACCCATCCTTCCTGGCCGAGGGTCCCTTTGATCCCCAAAGCTCAGCCCGTGCCACCACCCGTGTGTTACCCAGGAGCCCGTTCCCCCCCGAGCCAGACCCCGAAGCTCTGCCCGGTGGCTCTGTGGTGGCTGTGCCCCCGCCAAGGTTCCCTGAGCTGGCCCCCGAAGCTGTGCCCGGTGGCTCTGTGGTGGCCGTGCCCCCACCAAGGCTCCCTGAAGCTCTGCCCGGTGGCTCCATGGTGGCCGTGCCCCCACAAAGGTTCCCTGAGCTGGCCCCCGAAGCTGTGCCTGGTGGCTCCATGGTGGCTGTGCCCCCACTGAGGCTCCCTGAAGCTGTGCCCGGTGGCTCTGTGGTGGCCGTGCCCCCACCAAGGTTCCCTGAAGCTGTGCCCGGTGGCTCCATGGTGGCTGTGCCCCCACGAAGGTTCCCCGAGCCGGGCACAGAGCCCAGCCCTGGCCAGGTGGGCTCTTTGGACATCCGCAGCTCGGTGTTCCGGCTGCAGGCCAGCATGCAGCTCCAGGCCAGCGATGGTCAACCCAAACTGGCCCCTGACACCCGTGACAGACCCCTGGGGCTGCCCCCGTGGCCACGGGACCAGGAGGAGCCCGTGCCCAGCCCCGCTGTGCCACCCCCCAAACCACCCAGGCGGTTTGCAGCCATCGGTGCTGGTGGGGACGGTGACGAGGGGGACCCTGGTGACACCCAGAGAGGCACCCAGGGGCSATGGGAGGGCTCAGAGGAACCAGGAGCAGAGATGGAKGTGCCAMRGAGCCGTGGGAGCAGCGAGCCCTCYGTGCCCACCGCTGAAGCCAAGGGCGAGTTCCCGGTGCCCGAGGGTGCCCGAGCTGCCSCTGTGGACTCAGGAGCTGATGTGGACACAGAAACTGGAGAGCTGGGCAAAGGGGAACAGCTGTCGGAGATGAACCAGACTGATGGGGCCGAGCAGTTTGAGACTTGCACGTCCAAATTCTCCCTGGATGGACTGGAGCAGTCGGGGGCTGAGCAGAGCWGGAGCCAGCCCCGTGTATCCCCTGAGATGGGGGCTGCAGACAGTGCCAAGTGGGAGCCACCCTCCAGGCAAGAGCCATTCCCTGAGGAGCTCAGCGTTTCAGGACTAAACCCACCTTCCAAGCTAGACCTGGCCCAGCCCGAAATGTTCTGGACGGCTCTGGAAGATCAGGAGGCAGCTGGGCATCCAAAGCCACAGCCCCAAAGGTTAGAGCGTGGGGAGAGCCCATCCCGGCTGGAGCTGGCGTGGGATGGTGGCGAGGGGCGAGCAGAGGAGCGTGCCCGTCCTGGGCAGGCAGAGCAGGGCAGGGCCTCGGCAGAGAGCAGGATCGACTGCAAGAGAGCYGATTTCTGGAAGCCAGACAGGGCAGAGGAGAGACCCACTCGGGGAGCTTCAGCCCTGAGAAACCCCTTTACCCTGGCGCTGAGCCCCAGCTCCCCGAGCAACCCGTTCGTGGAGCATCCCCCTGCCCCGCTGCCCGAAAAGCTTGAGCAGAGCCACTTCAGCTTCTCCGCAGCGCCTGGGCACGGCTCGCAGCCCCCTCACGCTCCCTCCCTGCATGCCGGCCAGCCCCTGGCCTCCTCCACCCCTTTCCCGGTGGCTGTCGCTAACCCCGAGCCGCACGTCCCCGCCGCCGTGCCCGCCAGCCGCCAGTGCCCGCTGCCCCGGGACGCACAGGCTTCAGCGCTCCTGGTTCTGCCCAGGGAGACACGGCCGGCTCAGGAGCCCTTGGGCCAGCACATGAGCAGGTGAGAGTGCGGGGAGCGAAGGGTGCGTGCTGGGGACACGGAGGGAGCTCCGGAGAGGGCTGTGCCCGGCCGGGTCCGCTCCAAGGGGCTGCTCTGGTGGTGCTGCAGCTCCTCCTGCCTCGCCCTGCCCTGGTTCTGCAAAGCCCAGCTCAAGCTGTGGGATCCTGGGCTCTCTGGGATGCTGCAGCTCCTCCTGCTCCCCTTGTGCTGGTTCTGGAGAGCTCAGCCCGAGCTGTGGGATCCTGGGCTCTCTGGGATGCTGCAGCTCCTCCTGCTCCCCTTGTGCTGGTTCTGGAGAGCCCAGCCCGAGCTGTGGGATCCTGGGTACTCTGGGATGCTGCAGCTCCTCCTGCCCCACCTTGCCCTGGTCCTGGAGAGCTCAGCCTGAGCTGCTCCGGCAGTGCTGCAGCTCCTCCTGCCTCGGTTCTG